ATGCTGAGCACTTTCTAAAACATAGAGCAGTCTTCAGGGTGAGGCCTCGGTGGGAGCTCCAGCTCTACTGGAAGCAGCTCTTTGCCACATTCTGTCTCCTGTACTCCGAGCCATGCCTCATCCTAAACGCCCTCATCCTCACTCGTGAGACCAGGGAAAGGGGGCTGAGAGGCGGCTTGTGGCTTTCCTGAGATCACACAGCTTGTGAGTAGCAGAGCTGGAAATCAAACCCAGATTCTGTCCGAGTGTTGACTAGGCTACATTTGAGCAACTTCACCGTCCTGATAGGACAGCAGATTTCTTCTTCTTCTCCTTCTTCTTTTTTTTAATTAACATGTATTATTGGTTTCAGAGTCTTATACAATACCCAGTGCTCATTACATTACATGCCCTCCTTAAAGGACAGCAGTTTTTAGACCTATTTGCTCATGACCCACAGTAAGAAAGAAAGGGGGCAGGGAGAGAAGAAAGAAAAGTTCCAGGAATTCTATGTAGAAAGAAGAGAGGAAGGACAAGAGAGAGAAAGAGAAAGTAAGATTTTACTCATGTCCCTTTAAAATTGGGAAGTCACGTTGCTCTGGATTTTTTTTTTTTTTTGAAAGTGTTCATCTCTGCAGCTACACGAAAATAACCAGAAACAGGGGTTTGTAGTTGAGACCCAGGTGAAGAATGAAACGTGCCTACTTAGCATGGAGACCCAGTTTTAGAAAGAGTGGCTGCTCTTCTCCCTGCCCTGGCTCACTGGAGCAGATGGTCCCCTCGGCAGCTGTCATCTGGGGCTGTCCCTCCCCCGCCCCCCCGCCCCCTGGAGGGCTCTTTCTCTTTTTGCACTGCAGATGGGGGTCCTGTATACACCCATTTAAGTGTGGTGGTGCCACATTCCTACCAGCTTAGAGACAAACGGGGGGCCAGGTTGGGCAGGCTGCCCACTCAATGCCCCTCACTTCTCAGGATTTTGAGCCTTGGCTGTCACAAGATAGCCTGCACTGCCCTGGTGCTTTTATACTTCCTTCCTTTAGTCCACGCCCAAGAGGGGCCCCAAGCCAGGGTGCGTTGGAGCCCTGGCCATTTCTGCTTCATTAGAAGCCCAAACCAGGCCAGCCTGGCTCTCTCTGCCAGTAACCAGAATAGACCAAGAGACCGTGTACGGGACCTTGGAGGAACCATCCTGTAACGTGACAGCCGCAGAGCCTGGAGCTCGGCACACTTGGAAGGAAGCTTTGGGCAATATCTGTCTGGTGTCCTCAGTGGAGTGTGAGAACGTGGCCTGCACCTGTGGTCTAGTTGGGGTGATTGGTGTGGGAAGTGTCTGGACCAGGAGGGACCGGAGGGAAATAAAATATCACAATCACAAATGTGTTGGAGGCAGGAAGCAGAGAAGGAGATGAGACCCATGCAGTAGGGCATGGCTTGAGAGGTGACCTGCAGGAATGCAGGGAGCCCTCAGCCTGTCACCCCTCGCCCCACTGCTTCCCCTTGCAGCCTTAGAGCCCAGCTAGCCCCTTTCCTCAAACACCCTCAAATAGGCCAGTGGACTCGCAGATGTGTTTGGACAGCCTCCGTCTCCCTGTGCTGAATTTTGTGGTGTTTCCGAGGTAAATAAATCAAGCAGCGTGCAGATCCTGAATGCCCAGAGCCTAATCGGTCTTCTAAAGATGGAAGAGCTGCTGTCTTGGTCTGACAGATCTTTGCATCCTCCAAAGCACATGGCAGGCCTCCAGCATTCAGTCAGTGTCTCCCAACCTGAATTGATTGAATTAATCCATTTTAATTGTTCATATTTTTTCATTATTTTGTTAATTCCGATGCTGTATGGTGATGAAAAGTTTGGGCTCTGGAATCAGACCTAGCTTCAAATCCCAGCCCTGTCACTGAGTCACTGTGGGACTTCAGGCAAGTTTCCTCATCTCTCCGAACCTCAGTTTTCCTCATCTGGGAAATGGGCATGGTAACAGACCTTCCCTTGAAGGGTCATCGTGACCCTTGAATGAGAGAGCGCATATCCAGGGCACGGTGCAGGACACATATAAGCCCTGCCCTGGGAAAAGACCACGTTCCTGCACCTTTTGTGATTTCTCTCTTTTAGTCTCGGCGACGACTAGTGAGGCCATGTTTCTGAAAGTAGGAGCCCCAGAGCACCTTAGTCTGGAAGCATTGCAGTGCCTGGGACCGGCCACATCCCTGGACCCATCCGTAGAAACGGCGGTCTCGGGGCGCCTTGGGTGGCTCATTCGTTAGGCATCCTTCGGCTCGGG